TTCAGACAATAGTTAATTGGTATGAAGATTTATTTTCTACATTTTGCGGAGAACCGACTTTACTCCCTCCAAGACAATATTGACTTTTCTAGAACCTATCTTTGCTGTACCAGGTTGCGGTGTGCGTGAGGAGATTATAGTAATGTTGGATTCATCTATTTCTTTTAGATAGTCAAGTATTCTTGATCCAATTCCGTAGTCTCTGTCGTCATCGTACCCATCGTGTGTATGTCCGTCTTTGTCCGTAAATATATATACCAATGTGTTGTATGTGCATGCTGATACTAGGCCCTGCATTATTTGTCGAACAGCTTCACGAACTTCTGCATATGTTGTGGTGATAGCAGCTGTGACACAGTACGTGTGACCATTGTCGTTGACTTCATTGGAACTAGTATGTTCAAATCGACTAAATTTAGACTGGTTAGCTTCAAAAATTCAAATGCTTTTGGTGTTGACACTTTTTCAACATGTTTAGTTCCACTTTTACTGAAGAATAGACTGTTTCCTTTTATTTTTGTTTCTACGTCTATTTCCTTATACTCTTTATGTTTTTGTACCAGCCTTTTTCTGTTTTCACGCATATCGTCTGGAAATAGTGGAGTTATATATGCCATTAAGTGTGTCCTTTTTTGTTTGCTTATTGTTCGTGCAGTGTTTATGACATGCTCCCGGTCATTGTAGTCGTGGAATTTTACAACTATAGGACGGATGCTATTTGGATTTGTCTGGGTCCCAATTCTGTGGGCTCTGTCAATTTTAATGTTTTCATTTATTTTCAAAACATTTTTGAAAATTAATTTTAATTCCGCTTTTACGTTTTCGTCTATTTGTTCATGGACACCTATTACAATAGCATTTTCCCTCATGCTACGTTCGACCAGGTTTGCTATTTGACTTTGTTGACAATCAAGTCTAGTTTCTAAATGTACCACGTATGATTTCATTAAATTTAATTCCGTAATAAGTATTGTGTTTAGATATTTGACTTCGGCTATCATTGTTGTTTGATCTTCAGTTTCTGTAGCAACAGCTTGAAGTCTGTCTTCAATGCCATCTTTGGCGTATATATCATTTTTGATACTATTTATTTCTTCATTTTGTGTTTCAAATTTTATTACAAGACTATTAAGTGTTTGTTGTATGCCTGTTATACCACTGAGAAGTTTGTTGTTGAATGTTTGATCCTAAGAGTATTCACCGAGGTTTTGTTCGAGTGAGCTCTCGGTCTCCGTAATGTTAGCATCCGCCATATGCATTATGCTTGTGTTTTGTTTACAATTGAAAGTTTTTTATTTCTATTTCTCTTTCACGTTTACGAGTTTTTTGTTTTTCACTCATTACCTTCATTCATTACTATCAAAATAAGTTGGTCGTGTGTTGATTCCGGAAAAATTCACTATTTCACCATATTTAAGTTGCAATTATCAGGCAGGTCGAGCAGAGAAAAAAAATCAACCAATCATTTCCAAGGGCAGAGAACTCTGGATTATTTAACGAAAAAATATCATCAAGATAACGGTAAACTGATTGCAATAAGAAATAATGACGATGATGACGATGACGATGTATAAGTTTTTCTTTGTCTGTTAGTTCCTAAATAATTATTGGTAGCGGTTGATGGAAAGTTAACAGTCCATAATGATATTTTAGAGTGTTTTCCTATTTGCCAAAACATATAGGTAATATGTTAAGAAATTGTGGGCAAAAACATGTATTTTATCTATTGGAAATAGATGTAGGTTTAAAGAAAGAAAAAAAAAATGTGCACACGATGAAATGTCTAGCCTGCTGTATTGATCATGATTGAATTATGTTAAAAGTTTTAGCAAAAAAGGTTACACAACAGGTATTCCAAATGTACACACAATTAATATTAATTCATTGATTCATGTAAATGAAATAAAGGTGAAATGAAATCTGTCAGACGGATGTATATGCCTTATAATCGTTATATACACCGATTATAGTTAATCTTGTGCTGATAGTGTCTGAGAAACAGACCTAACCAAGGAAACAAAATTGTGGCGAATGACCCATAAATATGATATCAAGGTCAGAAGAACTCTACCACACAGACATGTACACCTTGCAATCATTCCATACAACACCTATGTTTAACCTATTGCTTATAGTATCTGAGAAATTGACTTTACCATGAAACCAGAAGCATGACTTAAGAACCATGAAAATGAGGTCAACGTCAGACAAACCTAACAGACAGACATGTATTCCTTGTATTCATTTCATACACAAAATATAGTAGTCCCACTGCTTACATGTACAGTAACTGGGATACGACCTTGACCACAAAAACTTAACCTTGTTCACTGACCCATGCATTGATGCCAATGTAAGGTGAACCCTATTTGCCGGACATATAGACTTTACAAGGATACCATATACCAGTAGTGAGAAATTCACATGACGAAAGTGGACAGTTTTTAGGCAGTCGCTAAACAATGAAAATGAGGTCAAGGACAGTGATCATAAGACAGACGGCAACTTCCTAAACAAAGTATGAATCATTCAGGTCCTCAAACCCCTGAAATATAAAACTTTATACAAATTGTTTACGCGCCGGATTGTAATCTCTTTGTCTCGCATTCTGCAACTTGCATCGCAAACGAGTCAAAAAAAGCTGCCATTTGGTCTATTGTCTTGACATGATTGGTTGGCTTACAAACTAACAGGAAACCATGAAACGGAGATGTACAGAGACCATTTCTTGTAGATATTCTTTATTTCCATGTCAATTTTATAGCAAATTTCTGCTCTCAATAAGTCACATAAATGTGTAGGATGGAGTGATTAACCTGTTTCTAAATGAAAATTTGTTTTCATAACTTTGACCACCCCCTCCCACAATTTTTAATCATTTACAGTACTTCTCATTTCTGTAAAACAAAGATATACGAAGAACTGCTCATTCAATTCATTTTCCGTTAATATCACACACGTTTTAGAACAAAGTACAAATGTATGTGCTTCCACACTCATCAAAAGAAAATTAGATATTTACTCAGAAATCAACGAACAACTTCTATCCAAAAACGGGAAACAACATTATTTTTGGACCATTGATAATTGTTGATATCTTCAAAAACATCTTTAGAGTTCACTAGTAACAAATTAGCAGCTGAGAATAAATTGTAAATGTGCACCCTATATGTACAAATGTCAATCTAGCGTCATATTTGGGAACAGTAATATCAAATAAGTCCGAAATGTAAAAACTATAGTTATAATGCTTTGAATTATTTGAATTTAGTACGCTCTTAACGCATATACGTAGGGACGACAAGCTAACTAAAGGTTTCTCTACGTTTTCCTGAAATTTAAGCTTTGATTTTCGACCCAAATTTTAAAAAAACGTGAATACTACAGATAAAGACGCATCAATATATCGACGAGGCTTGTTCGCTTTATTCTAATTGTATTAAGTACAGTCGTGCGTCATTCTATTAACCCAAATCGATCAAATGCGTAAACTTGGCACTCTTCTAAAATACATGACACTTTGCTAGTGAAACACAGCTGTAGATTTAATCTTAAATTGACACATTTCCATTATCAGCATATTTAGTAATTAGTATTTTTTATGTTAAAATATCCCTAAGTATCAAAATTTATAATGTTAAATTCTTAATAGAAGAAAAGTACATTTAGAATTCGTAACATTCATCTCTATTAACACGAGGTTGGAAAATTAAGTCATGGAAAGTATGAAAATAACCAAATATTTCCATTAAATGCTAATTCGAGATTTATAGAGGGTAGCTCAATGATACATATAAGTTCAGAAATGATTGCGCGAATCATTGCGATTTTTAAGAATGAACAAAATTGCTAGTTTTATTATTGCGATTTCAGAAACATATGCGTACAAATGTGTGGATCATATATAAGAATGCGCGTTCATATCATTGCAATAATAACCCAGTCGCATTATTCCCAATAATAAAAACCTCGCAATAATTTCTGAATTTACAGTATGCCGGCCTTTCGTTTTAGATTTAATTGGGCTTTCGTTCATTTTGATTATTTTCGTAATTTCTAGCCTGATTGCTCATTTCTGATGCTTTCAAAAAAGTTATTTTCACCTGAACAAACAGACATGTGTGTACTCGAATAAATTTGTCCAGCAAATTCAAAATACGAAAACAATATCAGTAAAGATCATTTAGCACGTTTTTCTCTTTATTTATTTAAGACCCTATTATGTATTATAGATTTATTTTCGTTTATATATATTAATATGTACATGTATATTCATATATATAGAAAAGCGTCATAATCAAGATTTTTTTCACCGACTAAAAACTCTGTAGCAGTGTAAGGAAAAAAGAACGCTGTAGTCTGTTTTGCGTAAATTTACATTAGTATAGATGTCATTACAAATATTTTTTAAGTTAGTTGAAATAAATTCTGCTAGATTATAAGCTTGTATTTTAATTGTAATACATTCGAAAGATGTTATGTACGATAAAAAAAATACAAGATTTTCAAACATTCGGTATACTCAAATATCATGTTTTTGAATATACATTTCTCTTTGTACATGTAGATACATCTAAATCATGCAAAATGCAATGCAGAAATCTGTCACGGTTCCAATAGTGAATAAGTAACTATAAATCACTGTACAGCATTTAGTAATTAGCAAAACCAATACCGTATAGTTAGCTATAAAAGGCAATAACATGACTGAGAAAATGTAAAACAATTCAAACGAGAAAACCAAAAGCCTGATGTCGAAAAAACACCAATAAAAGAGACATTACTTCTTAAGGAATGATGTAATATTACACAGAGTCATCTGGTAAGACTTCATGATGAAGTCTATCGATTGTCTAAATTTGGTCATGATAACTTCAATAGACACGGTGGGAGGACATGTAAAAAAATGTTGGAAGATAAATAAAAAAAAAGAAAACATTAGAAAAACAATAAGGTGTTTCCCAACGTAGGCGAAAGACCATAAAAATTAACAATACAAAAATAGTCAAACATCCGAGTATTTTGTTTGAAATGGTAAAGATAGAATACACAAATATATACATTATTAAATTAAATAAATAAACAAAAAGAAAAAAGAAAATAAATACATAAATTTACAGATACATAGATAAATAAATAAATACATAAATTTACAGATACATAGATAAATAAATAAATACAAAAAGATTTAAAAAATAATAAGATTAATAAAATAAGTTCAACAAATAAAAAAAAATAAGTTGAATAAATTAAGAAAATAATTGAATATGCTTAATTCATTCATTAATTAGATAAACAATTTTATATATAGAGAGAAAACTGATCTAAAGAAGGTGCTGTCCGGACCTTATCTAGGGTCGGATTGTCAGTATCACTTCTAGTGTAGAACTATTAGAATCTGTTCTAAGGAAGAAGAGTCCTAAACTATTCTACGATATATCTGTTAGAATCTGTTCTGGGATAGAAATGTTAGTCTGTCCAAAACTGTTCTAGGGTAGAACCGCTCATTCAGAACCTTTTGTAAAGTTTTCATGAGTACTGTTCTACGGACTTTTCTTGACCAGTTCTCCTTACAGTTATTGACATATTTTAAGATTGGTTATAAATGATAATTTATGTGTTTGATCAATGTCTTTTAAATATGATTTTATACTGTCGTTAAATGACTGGTCTCTTTTGTATAAATACTGGTTTCATAATGATTTATTTTTATTTGTTTGTTCACAAAAATATTGCTATTTCAGAAATCCTACATATTTGTAGAATGAAACTGAAATTTGATGCTCTGTAACTGAAATTATTATGATTTATGACATAAATATTTACACACTCTTGATTTGGTTTACCTTTACGAATTACCTGAGTCAAGGATGACCTAATATACATGTATGCTTTTGTATGATATAAACTGTTGGTACATTTTCGCTCCTCGTTTATGATATCACCAGCCCAGTTGTCACCTCTTTTGTAGCCCAGATAAAGGTTGCCTAAGCCCTATTTAACACTATTTTTCAGAAATTTCGGTGTGCTGCTCAGCTTTGTAATTGATATGGCATGGCGGCTTTTTTAAATTGAGCGTCACTAACAAGTCTTATGAAGACGAAACGCGCGTCTGGCAAACCAAATTATAAGCCTGGTACATTTAAGGAATTGTATGACTCTCTTCACGATAAAGCTTTTTTTAGAACGGATATCGGGTAAAGCACTTCACAATCATTCTAGCTACATTTATCAGGACGCTCTTCTTTTGCTTTGTAAACAAAAACATTTTCTTATTCCAATACAATAGGGATGCACGTGCGAGATGTTACAATTGAAATTACTGTCACGTTTGAACGCCACTGGATACTAGTAAGGAACGGATTACTGTTGTTACTAGCTAGAGAATTAGAAACGACTTATAAATAGTTACACGGTTTTCACCAAATAAAAACGACAGCCTTTCAAACGTGACTTATTACGGAATACGAGGAGTCACCGGGTATAACTTGATGCGTACAACACAATAGGTACAATATATTCACTGGTGAACAGGATCAGTGCATCTGTGGGCAGCTCCTGAGTTATTTTCCTTTTGTTGTGGCCTTGTTTTGCTTAATATTTAGATTTTGTAGTAGACTTTATAGCTTTATAGGCAGACACTGGTTAAAAATGGCTTTAATTCATCAAAACTAGTAATTGTCACTTAAGAGATTTTAAAGTAAAAAAGCGATCATGACTACATTGAAAATATTAAAGTTTTACTGGTTTAAATCTATATTAGAAGTTTATTCAGTTTAACATGACATAACAATGAATTAGATTTTTTTTCAAGTGTTAATAAAGTATCTCCTTTTTAATTTGATTTTAATAGTTTTTAATCATTTAAATTGATACGTATTGACTAGTTTTAATTTCAAACATATGAGCAGTATAATATGCTTTTAACATCATTTCATCTAATTATAAAAACTACACCATCAACTTAATTGATATTAAAATCATATTAGGAGATACTTTATTTACTTTTGATAAAAAGATATGATTATTTGTAAGTCAAGTTAACGCTATCAAGTTTCAAACAATCATATGATTGTCACACGTTAAGACGATATTTTATAAAAAGGCCAAAACTATGTATTTATGTGTGTTGCATTCGCTTTCCGCACGGTTGGAAAAGGTCTTGAGATAACAAAACAAAACACTGAATTAAATTTCATTGAATGATTGGTGATTGCTTTACGCCACATCAGCACAAACAGGCTGTATCGCGGCGAGAAAAATTAAATGTCAGAAAATATTTGAAAGCGAACATTTTAAATGTTAATTATACCCCATGCAACGAGTTGCGGAGGGTATAATGTGTTTGACCCGTCCGTCCGTCTGTCCGTACGTCTGTCCGTCTGTCCGTACGTCTGTCCGTCTGTCCGTCCGTCCGTCTGTCCATCCGTCTGTCCGTCCGTCAGTCCGTCAGTCCTATTTCTTGTCATCGCAACTCCTCTCAAACCACACAACAGAATTTCACGAAACCTTTTTAGATAATAAGGACATACTATGTAGTTGTGCATATCGGCAGGAAATTACGATTCAATTTTTTTCTAGTTGTTATGCCCCTTTGAACTTATTAACTTTAATGTACTACTGCAACAGTTTGTCATCGCAACTCCTCTCAAACCACACAGCAGAATTTCATGAAACCTTTTCAGATAATAAGGACATACAACGTAGATGTGCATATCGACAGGAAATTACGATTCATTTTTTTTCCAGGAGTTACACCCCTTTGAACTTATTTGCCCAATATACTACTGCAACCTTTTGTCATCGCAACTCCTCTCAAACCACACAACAGAATTTCATGAAACCTTTTCAAATAATAAGGACATACTATGTAGATGTGCATATCGACAGGGAATTAAGATTCAACTTTTTTTCCAAGAGTTACGACCCTTTGAACTTATTTGCTTCAATGTACTACTGCAACAGTTTGTCATCGCAACTCCTCTGAAACCACACAACAGAATTTCATGAAACCTTTTAAGATAATAAGGACATAACATGTAGTTGTGCATATCGACAGGAAATTACGAATCATTTTTTTTTTCTTAGTGTTTTGCCCCTTTGAACTTATTTGCTTTAATGTACTTTTGCAACAGTTTGTCATCACAACTCCTCTGAAACCACACAACAGAATTTCATGAAACTTTGTAGATAATAAGGACATACTATGTAGATTTGCATATTGACAGGAAATTATGATTCAATTTTGTTTTCTTATACAATTTTTTTTTTTCTTACACTTATTTTATTTTTCCAATGACAATGTGGGGACGTGAGGTATGTGAGCGCGCTCACTAAAGTTCTTTAATTTTCCATGTTATTAATCATTATTTGGTTCAAAATAAAAATATTCTTAACTGATACGTAATTTTCCTCGATTTTCTCATAAAATGACTTTGATGTTCAAAACAAAATCCGTTTACTAAGGTGCAAACCTGCTTCAGTTTATTATGGTTTAATTTTTATTTATGCATTTGTCTTCCTGGCTGCCTAGTAGATTTAGAAGAAAGTTATTAGAAGAGACAGGCATGTCGTTACACTTAATGTACAAAATGTTACTAAATGACGTATCTAATTTTATTATAATTTTTGATAATCAATTGTATATTAAATGCAATGACACTTCATGGAATAAGAAGATGTATGTATACAAAACAACATTGTTTAATTACGTAATGCAGAATGAATTTTACAAAAGCTTATACACTGTATTTAACATATTAAAGCGTTGAAAATACCTTTTTTCATTATTACTTTCTATGGATTTCTGGAATATGATATATTGAAAAAGCCATCTCAATGTCTTTTTTACTGACTTTTACTTGTCGTGGTCAATACGACGGATACCTCCATTGGATTTTGAAATTGCCTGCACTTACAAAGAACTTGACCAAACAGGCATTTGGAGGGCTCACGTTGTATAATCTTTCGATTTCGTGTCTAGATTTTTTTACTCTTTTTTTTTTATCTTTGTTTGCTAAGTTGATGTATTAATATTATGGTGTTTTTTTTTCGACTTCTGGCAATTAATTAAGTTTTACTTTGAACCACTTCGGTAGTGTCATTGTATTGTGGATTTCTCTCTAAAAGTAAAATCGGACATATAGTCTTCATTCTGCCCGGACGAGGTTGCGCATCTGTTAATTTCACACAGCCAAATGGATGCCACACTTTTGCAAGGGGTTTAGTGTCGGACGGGATAAGTCCAAGGGTGAACATATGGCCACACCCCAGTTAACCTGTGTATCGTGTATCATCTTTACGATTTAAGAAGGATCTGCCGATACAGTCCTCAATCATTAAATTAATTAAACTTTTATATATAGGAAAGAACATTGTTTGTCGTTGGCATGCTGAATTATTGACGTATTCCCGAATCTTTTTTTATCCATATTTTTCTATTGTTACATTCTTAGAATTTCACTGTTGCAGTAGTTGATATATTCACAGACATATGTCAGTACCTTGTTATAATTACAACTGACTTATAAGTAATAAAATATATAAGTGTTATGCACTGTTGTTTACTGTTTCATTCGCAGCAGACTGTCCATCACCTTCAGATTGTTGCTCGTTTGCTGTTTCACAGTTATCATCATGCTGCTTATTTACTGTTTCTTGTTCAACAGAGAGGTTATCAATGTCTTGTCCACGTGAATTTTCGATTTCACCACTTTCCGTCTTAACAACAAGCTTTTGTTCTACTTCCTTAAGTTCATTTTCCCCGTTTTTATGATCATCTGAACTAGTGTTGCTATTCCTCTTTGTCACTCCAAACGTCGATTGTCTGCAATAAACATGAAAGTTGCCTCAATGCTTACCCTTACGGAAGTCTTATGACCTCCCACTGCATAGGTGGAGTTCGTCTTACTAAATTTTTCATTTTCTGTTTATTATTTTGTTGAATGATATCTGTTAGTTTGCTTTTTATAACATGGTGTCTAGTTTTCATTTGGTATATTGGTATATTCTCCTTATTTTTTCTGACAACGTGGAAAATTTAAAAGACTACAAATCTGTGTTGTACTTTTTAAAACTTGTTTTATTTTTTTAACAAAATGTGTCTACTAAAAAATCACTCACACAGAGAGTCAATATTCCTTGTAGGCTCTTATTTGTATGTTAAACATTTTTTTCAATTACATATCAATATCATGTTTTAAATTGACGTTTTCCTTCTGTCTACATGTATTTGCTGTCTAGTTTAACAAGAAAATAGTTAAATATCTTATTAAGAGAAAATGTTTAACTCCGCGATTGAAATTTAACATTGTACCTGTACCTATGTTGTTTGAATCAAATAAATATCAACATATTTGAGTAAATTTTCTTTTAATGATGAAATCACAATAATAAAAAGCTTATTATTGTTATTTTTCTCATTTTCATAATATTCATAGTTCATTTGTATAGCATTAACATGGAATCATGCATTACATTTGGATCAACTACATTGTAAATGCATATATTAACAATATATATCACTCGGAATAAATGGTTGACGGATTTTCGCCGGGTTTGTTTTGGCAACATATGTTCATATGTTTTCAATCGATTGTTTTCTGCTGGTAGATTTGTTTTTTTTATAGTTGTGACCCTAGCAAACATACGGGTCTAGATTTGGGGTCTTAATTTCCGTACTCTTTAGATTTATGCCTTATTTTTGTATCCTGCCTTTCCTCCAATTATTCAATATTATTTATTTATAAGTATTGTTTAAACAATTTATGTTTTAGTCCATTTATCTCAATAGTTTGGTGTATTATTCTCTATAGCTTGACCCATTATTCTCTTTTATTTTAACACCATACAAATCCTTAATCGTCCATGTATCACACTACCTTATTTGTATAGCATATATCCAGTTTGGCACAACGATAGACGTTTATAGTTACAATAGAAATGTGTTAATCGATGTGCAGACATAGATCTTTTGAAGGTAGTATTGTACGCATTGTAAAATTTACCTAGTATATTTTTTCCATAGGAAGAAAGCAACAACAATACATAACACCACTAACAAAACAGCTATCACGATTGGTAAAGCGATATTTGCTGTAAAATAAAATAAATCTTAATTTAATGGAATAACATAGTCATGATAGTTATGTAATATAATCAAACATATAGTTTGTATAGTACAAATTGTATTATTGTTGTACGTTGTTTGTGCATATATGCACCGGTTTTCGGCTGTTCTGGGTTTGTACTGATATATTTCTTTTTATCGCCTACAATGTCTTATAAAAGACGTTCTAAAAAATTATTCTATGTTGTATGTAATGTATATGTAATCAAATGTATTTAAAAAGATTAACCATGTTTTCGTATTCTCTTTACTACAAATAAATCCCTTTGCAGTTAAGCCGTCTCTTATGAAAGTCATACTGACATCCACCATTATCTTCCATTTGCATAATACCTCTGATTCCTTAATCTTGTCCGGGTTTTCTCTTCTTATGGTCTTTTTTGGTTTTACTATATTTATGACTTTGTAATATTTTGGCATCTAGCATCAATGAATACAGATATTATTCGTCCAAATGGGCATTTGGTAGAGTGAAATTGCTACAATTTATGTTTAACTCAGTAACCTCAGCAATTGACGTCTCCACGCCACAGTAGATAGTGTTTCAGTTTGGACAAGGTTTTTATTATGTATGAATTATGTATAATTAGCATTCATTCAATGTACGTTGTAATTTTTATGAACCAATAAGTCCAAACATATTTTTCAACGATTGGCTGTCTTTTTATGTCACATAACTCTCAAATGTTTCATATTATTTTGTTTGTCTACCATAACTGTCGAGCGTGCTTGTTGAAGCATGCTTGTTCTCAAAAGTCGGGTGTCTAGCAAAATTCAATTCAAATTCATACATAAATTGCTTAAAAGCTTGAAAAAAAATGAGATTTATTTGAAATTAAGGCACAAATACATATCTTTCTCATACATAGCTCTGATTACTGAGTCGGGCGTGGATGCTTGTATACTTTTGGAAATGTCAAGTCCACAGATTTTGTATGAGGTGTTGGTTTTTTTTATATATTTTGGCCTTGTCAATCAATCATTATACATAGAGAGTCGATATTCTCAACTTGTGCAGTGGACTTGCCACCGAGTAATATTTTTTTCACACGTTTATGATTAAAACATTGTATCACACTTTGATAGAAATTTTCATTACATTCTCTATTTCACTATAATTACCATTTAGATATTATTGACGTTTTGTCTATCATTTAGTTCATATTATTATTTCCACGAATGTGACCTACCGAGACCCATGATTTAGCGTACTCACTAACTTAATAGCTCTTCAATAGACCATTAGTCTATATTCAAGTCAAAAATAGCTTTATAATTAAAATATCAATTTTATCGACTATAATAAAAACTTACACTCTGAATCTTTTGAGTGATCTTCCTTGGACACTTTATTTTCTTTCAAACACACAAATACAAATAAATAATCAAAAACTGGTAAAAAAAATCATAGAAGTGGAAGGCTTAGCTAGCTATAAAACCAGGTTTAACCAAACATTTTCTTCGGGAACTGCCTGTTCCATGTCAGGAATATGGCAGTTGATTTTCACTTGTTCCGTTGATTGATAACGTTTGTTTTTGTCCGTTTTATGGAGTTTGGTATTTTATTTTTTATATATACTTTTTTATATCGTTATATAAAACAGTACTTTTTAATTTATAACTCAGTAGAGAAGTATACTCTCTGTTATTTTGTAATGTTATATGTTCCGCAGATAATTTTACAAGTTGTGTTTCGGAGATGGGATTTTGATTTACTAAGAACTATTTGCATTTATGTTGTAAGGATGTGTATGGGTACTATATTGTTGACGTTTTTTTATCATTATGTTCATATTATTTTTTATGGAAGCATATATCAATTCGAATCAGTATTGTTCCTGAAATTGTAATGCAAAATTTAGAAAACAACATGTGACGTACAACAATGAACACTAAATAACCAAGTTACGGTTTTAAGTTTTATATGTTGTTTTGTATACTGTTGTTTTTCTTTTGGTCTCTTCTAAGTTTTGCCATGGCTTTGTTAATTTATTTTCGACGTATGAGTATATGTCCATTTGGTATCTGTCACCTTTCTTTTAAAGTCTAGTTTCATTATATTTCAAAATATTTTCGACAACCCTGATAAAAATGAAAATACACAATCAGAACTTAAGACAAATAACACATAGCAAATACACTGTTGAACAAGCTACCATACAAAAATCAAATTCTTAATAATAAGAACATACGAAGAACATTAAAACGAAAGATGGCAAAACATACAGTTGAAAGTGAATTTTAAGTTGAAAACTATTTGTAGTACTACTTTATAACCTGTAATCTGAATGTTTTTAATCTGTATGATTTTAATAAAAGCAGTACGGAAGCACTGACTCGATTTGTAGAAATCCAGTACATCAGCTACGGATTCTTGTGCTTAGGACACGGTTTCTACAATCACGTCCGAGAACAAATCTTTTTACTGTTTTGTATGTGCCCAAGTGGACTTTTGTATGTATCAGGTACGTAATTATATCATGATGGCGTGCATCGTATGCAATTAATAGCTTTGCATCGTGATGCAAAGAAAAAAGCACCTGTTAAATCGTATTTTCATATGACAAAACGGTATGTTTAGAGCAAATAATTGTTCAGAATATTATTTTGTAACTCCTGTTTACGTTAAACACATAAAAATCTCAGGAGCTGGAAAATCCAAGAACAAAACGCTTTATCTAATGTATAGATCGAAGAAAATTTTGTTTAATATAGATTTTTGTCAAATCTAGATCAATCCTGTTAGAAAGTAGTACATTTAAAATATATGGTGATTGATTTACTTGTAATTGTCTGATTGATTATATATTCTTGATCGTTTAATGTTCTCCTTTGGATACGAATTTAATGGAGAAAGACATAATAATTTTAAATGAAAGCGATATCATTTTAATTTTTATTAAAAGGGGATATCTTTGTATACATGGGCTACTGTTGATATTTGTACTTTTGTACTATGTATATTTCCTTGAAATCTAAATTGAAAAAGAATTCATAGGCTTAATAACATAAACATTTTAAAAACTATAATATCACTGTATTTAGTGGATAGCATCCAAAACGTAGCAAAAGAATCCAATGATCCAGTATCAATTCTTTTATTCGATTTATGGACGTTTCTGTTATCTATATTGATAAAGTACAACTAAATTGTATATATGTACATCCATTGTAAGTGTTAGTGTAAACATATTTTATTAATTAAATTCAAGTTAAATGATATACACAATTTGGCATTAGCATATTATTACAACTGAATAATTAATAGGATCCGGAAACAATCTGTTAACTTATATTAATCCGTTTCCAAAGTAAGTTTTGTAAGTGTTGAAACGTTTTCATTATGCTAGTATGATATTAAAGGGTTAAAATGTTGATAAGCTGTTTGAGGTTGTAAAATAGAATATCATAAATCCATACATGGCATTGCAGTTATGATATCGATGCATGGGCTCGATAATATGTATCGGCAATATAATAATTCATCAGCGATGTTTCTTACCTTATTTTGACAAAATTGAACCAAACTGGCTGCGAAAAGCAAATTACTATATCACTATTCAACTTTCATTAATGATTGAACAGAAAAGAATTATGTTAAATTTTTTTATATCTTAGCTAATTCCCCTTTAAGTCAGTAACCATAGTGTTTAGAATATTTTTGGATAAATATTTATTAAGAAATGTGTGTTTATATTCACCAGGTTGATGTTCAGCATGTACACCTGAATTAGGTTATTCAGGCGGATATGGAATCCTTAATATTTAAGGCATAAATAGTTTTGACAAAAATTGGAAGGGAAAATCTTATTATTTTGAATGCCAGCATCAATTTCTGTTACCTGTTTAATTCATAATAATCGATACTACAAACCACCATGGATGGCTACTTTATTTTCAATTTGAATGGACTCAAAAAGTAACAGTTAATTTCAGGAACAATGTGTGTATGCACAAATAATTATTACTATTTTTGAACAATGAAATTCAATTATCAAATTTGTGTGCCTCACGATATCATAATATGATGATTTTTTGTCAACGTTTGTGTTAATAATTGTGTATCTTAATGATTTTATTTCTTAGCATGCTTTAACATATATGTATATATACTCTATACGTGTAATAAAACATAATATAATTATCTGTAATTATTTGTGCACACACACATTGTTCCTGAAATTAACTGTTACTTTTTGACTTTATTCATATTGAAGATAAAGTATTTACGGTGGTTTGTAGTATCAATTATTATGATTTAAACAGGTAGTAATATAATTATGTTTTAAGGAAGAGCGCTTTATATTGTTCAAATTATAGGTATATTTTTAATATTTCGTTTTTATCAGTCCCATTAAGACTTCAATTTTCTCGCTACAATACCTATCAAAGATTCAAGCTGAATCCGTCTTTACTATTAATTTCTTTTGAAACGACAACTTAATCCTTAATCTCGATAAGCATTCACCCAGACTTATATGTATTTATTGATTCTATAAACTTAACTTTAAATGAAACTCCTTCTAAATGTGTGTGAAACTTGTCTCAGAAAAATATGAGTGTTAAAAATTACACCTCGTTTTTTATGTGAGATGTACAATAATTAGTGTACACTCGTCCATGTTCTTGACCAAACTCCCACAACTATTAAATACCATTATAAAATAGGAACGGCTGTCACAGCTTAAGAGCAAAAGGTATAATACAAATAATGCTTAATTTAAACCATAAACATTTTGATAAAATGAGCAACATATTTATTAAAATATTAACAAATAAACACTCACCCTGACATCCCATGCTTGTATTAACGTACCCAATCCAACAGGCACACGTGAAGCTTCCATTTGTATTGGTACAGTTTGAATGTTCAGGACACGGTTTTCTCTCACATTCATTTACATCTATTCATATATAATAATAACATTTTGGATAGGTTTTACTTCAGCTGCGTCATTTCCGTTGTACATATTTAAAGTACATGCAATATTATTACAAACACATTTTTATAATGTTTGCAAACCTAAGACTAAAGACGAAAGTGGCCGAGCCTTCGTTTGCTAAACAAAATGGAGATTTTGAGGGTTCGAACTATAAATTATTAGAGGTAAACCAGGATGAAAAAAATCCGTGGCCAAATGAAAATAACACGAAAAGAGACAAACCACAGTCAACAAAATACTTAACGCAAAACTAATGTTAAACAACAGAAACCTCATCAAATCCTTTGGTCCAAAACCCTTAAAAATTGCAGCTCCATCATTCATGTTTTTTTGTAGAGGGGAGGTTTAATTTTTCTAATTGTTTAAATATAATTTCTATAAAAGAATAATATTAGCTACACAGTGTGCTAGTGACCTACAAAAATATAAATAGGGTCAATCATTCAATATTGGACGAGAACGAGCAAAGCTTGAACCCTATATGAAATGTACTGACCCCGTACAAATAATGTTAGGGCACTTACACACTGTGTAACGAACTCATGTTACTGACTGTTAACATAGGGAATTTAGAAGTAGTTGTAAACCTTCATATTATAATTTTAACACAACATTACACAGAACATTCAATTATTTACAGCGAGGAAAGCATGCAAACATTACAGTTGTGTATATTTATAATGTTTTAAAAACAACCACTTTTTGTGAGGAACGTATGGAGGCTTATTTCTGCCGTCATGAAGTCGAGTTGCCGAATAAATTATGTCGACTTGACAAGAAAATGATCGCAACAAGTCGAATTATGGTTTGTGTTATGTCGACTCAATCATATCTTATGTCGACTTGCCGTGATAATTATCACTACAAGGCGGAAAAATTATCTCGAACACACAACCGCACGACGGCAGATGTGAGCAATCATCTTGACTTAAGGACCAGTAACCGATATACTTTAAGTCAACATGTCGAGATAATTATGTCGACTTGTCATGATTATCATCTCGGCGAGTCGACATTAGATGTGATTAAGTCGACTTGTTGAGAAAATTATCTCGGCAGGTCGACTTAATTATTTCTGCAGGTCGACTTCACGACGGCATGCATAAATAAAGGCAACAGTAGTATACCGCTGTTCAAAAGTCATAAATCAATTGAGAGAAAACAAATCAGGGTTACAAACTAAAACCGAGAGAAACACATAAGCCTCTATGTGAACGTATGCATACTACTAACCTAGTATTTAGAATAAAACCATCCCAATGACCGTCCATTTGAATCAAAACACGCCCACTGACCTTATATTAAACATTCACGGTTTCCACGTGATATTCCTAAAAGTGTAAAGGAGATAAGATCTATTTTGTTTAAGCAGTGAAGTGAACGAAAATAATTGAATAGATTAAAAAATAGGAAAACAGAACAATAGTTCCATGTATTCGTTTGAACAAATATTTTGTCTTTGACTCAAGGTGAAAACAATTGTTTGCCCCCCTCCCCCCCCCCCCCCCCCCCCAAAAAAAAAAAATAAAAAACCAAACAAACAAAATAAAAGCCTCCTACATCTGGTTTAAACGATGAATAATCGTTGGGGAAGTGTAATCAGGCGATGCAAAAATCGATATTTTATTCAGTTTTATCCCGATAAACATATAGAGAATCAATAATAAACGTGAAATAAGGTCTTCTTACACGAAAATATCATTGATTAATAGTAAAGATAAGTACTTTTGTTTGTCATAATCTGTGATTTAGTATTGTTTTACAACATGAATAAAATATTATACGTCCTTTTCCAATGTGTAAATTTTCCTTTTCCATTACCATTTTGATTGTTTACATGAAATGTTATAATTTGCAATACCTGTGCAGTCACCGTTATTATCATTATAGCCTTGTCTACAGTCACACCTATAACTTCCTTCTAAGTTGTAACAATCAGAGTGGAGTTGACACAACGAGCGTTTTAAAGGTTGGTACGAACATTCATTAACGTCTGGAAAAAACATATTCGCAAATAAATCACGTCCATGTTAAATACATGTACAAAACATTATAAGCTTTTGAAATATACTTATAAACAATAATCATTTATTACCATCTGTTACATTCACACGCAGTTGGAATGCATCATGCGTTGTTTTCTTGTAGACATTGAATAAAGATAAGCACGCGCGAAACTATATGAAATTATTTCCCTAATATCGTTATTTGTACCAAATGTACTGCACCAGATTCACATTCTCACAATTAATGTCTCTACAGTGATGCTGGAGTCTACACTTTTGAAAATCAAGAAACTGTCACAAGCGTCGAAGAGCCAATGAAACCAAAAAAAAACATAGTTATAGCAAAGAATCAGAGCTATGCATACGGAGAATACATTCCGTCATTAAAAACCATGTATATAAAATTTAACAACTGCAAACTTAGAATGAAAACAATTTTCATAATTTTTTTATTATATTCTACTTAATAGAATTGGGAATCGAAAGGGGAAATGTGTAAAAAGAGAGACAACAACCCTACCAAAGAGCAGCCCAAGGGTACCAATGAGTCTTCAACGTAGCGAGAAAATCCCACAACCGGAGGCAGGCTTCCAGCTGTTATGAGTTATTGTGTCTTTTACAAACAGTAAGCATTGAAAGTTAAAATACATGAACATCATTAGTTTCCAAGCATTATCGTTTTCTCGTCTATTGTTCCTGATTTTGTAAAGCTTTTTACCGAATGCAAGTCTAGTTACACGTTGTGAGATATTTGTTCTAAACACAATCTATTTAATTGGAACATAGAATACACATTAATTCTAAACAAAACAATGCCTAATTTTGATCACATGATTCTTAAATAAATGTATACTTATGTAACATAGTGCTTTAAACTAGGTGGTAAAATACTGTCACAATGCTTTACCCGTTGTACAATTTTCTCCTTTCCAACCAGTAGCACATGTGCAGTTGTAGGTGTCTTTGAAATCCGCACAACTTCCATTATTTTGACATGGGTTTGGATCACATCTATCTATTAAGACACATCATTTTAAAATGAACAACTACATATATTCAAGTTTTACAAAGGGACTTGTGTCAATATTTGGTCGATTGTTCGTCCATATTCAACGCGTTTTTAGCACTGATGGCCATATTTTGGCGGCCAATTTACATTTTATTTTGGCGGAGGAAGCTGGGGCTCGGAGAGAACCACATACATTCAACAGAAATACTAGCAATCCTAGTTAACTATGATAGTGGACGAATCTTCGTGCCGCGTTCCCACAATATCAATAGTGATTATTGTAGACAAACTACTAAAACTTCTTTGCCACCGAGGCCACAATTGTGTTAGAGAGATATCTCGTATGCATACATTTATAAGAGGCGTCGATATTGATGACGTAACCTATACTTTACCTAGATATTTCTACTATACAAAGCTTTCTTACAAACATATAATGAATAAACAAATCTTAAATAATTATTTTATAACGATTTGCTTTGTGATAAACCTTGTTTCATCGCTTTGTTTAACCGGTACTAATCATGCTAATGTTAGGTATAAAATATGTATAATTAATGGCGCATGTACCGACGTTTAATAATTACATCGAAATGAAATATGCACAATCTTGTTTGATTTGAAACAATACATGTTTGTGTCCATAAAAGACATTATAAAAAATAAACCATCTTACACACTTAATTCTTAAAGTTGGATTCTTCTTAAATGAGTAAATGTCACATATATCGCTAACTAGTGTGTTTTATACAAGTTACAGTAATTTGTCATGGTTCTTGTCACATTCATGCAAAAAGTGCATTCTTAAAAATGAATTGTCTGAAAGTTTTTTTTTTTATATTTTAAACTTGAGTCTTATAGTTGCAGCACAATTACGTTTTTAAGAAGTATAAACAATCAAAATACAAATTTGTAATAACTAGTAAGGAATTTCGATATGTTGAACACGTTAATTCTTTCAGTAACGTGTTTACAATTCTGAGATAAGGATTCTTTGTTCTGTTCGGTTAGGATGTTAATTGTAACAAAAATATGCTCCATAACGTTTTGTCTACAAGATGAAGATTATTCTAGAAATGACAGACATGTGTATGAACGTTTCAGTATAATATGTGCTAATTAACAATGCGTTTTGTATATCTTTCACCGATTCTGGCATTCACTAATAACGAGTGTGTCGATGCTGTCAGAATGAAACAATTCTGTAATTAAAAAATGTTAGTTCATGAGTTAAGTAATTGTATTTAAGTTAAGGTTACAACTCCTGAGTGAGTTTTTGGCTTTTTCGTCACCAAGGCCCTCTTACTTTCTAAACTCATATCTGATGCATTTTCTTCTCAAAAATTTGTTCATGAGTATCATACGTTATAAAAAAAAACAATGATAAATTTTCAAACTGTATGATTTATTCAAAAAAGTACACATTGCCAATCAAATAAAAAGGGAAGTCTACACTAGCTGCAAAGATTATAAATAAATGGGAAATCTACTACACAAAAAAACCTACAATAACCATATAACTGACAAAATGATATATTTATTTTACCTAGAATCAATTTTAGAACTGACAATTGTCACTTAAAACAACATACAAATATTAGTCAGGTGTTCTATTTCATGTCAATCAATTTTGGTTATGCATTTTTTTTAGTTTTCATAAAGTATACACACCAACTTCACATGTGTTGTCACATGGTTCACATAATACTGCATCATCAGGTACTTCGTCACTAGTTCCTGAAACAAACACAAAACAGTTATATAAGAAGCAAATATGAGACCTCAGTTGATATGAACATTATATCTTACACAGTTTGCTTTAAAATACACATGTAAATATATTTTGTCTTTAATGACGATTTGAATTTTTTTTACCATCTGCTATATTAACTTATTAAAATGGTTGGCTAGTTTGAATGAGGACATTTTGATTTGTGGCGGTGGATATAGAAAAATAGAGAAGTTCCTAATAGTGATCTTAGGTTTACAGCGAAATTGGCAAATTGGTCTACTAGTTTGTTGTAATGATAATCGCAAGAGAAACATTTACAAAATAGGCTTTGCGTTCGCAAATAGCTAAAAACATCTGAATTTGTTTATCAAAATAAAAAAAAAATAGGTATAGTCACAGAGTTCACTGTCGCCTTGCTAACAAAGACCTGAACCACTAGCTTCGGGTCCCTAGTCTGAAACTATGCATGTTATTCGGTCTTAATGCGTAGTCAAGTTATACCATATCGTCACTCATTAACCCGATTAGAAAGAAAAAAAAAACTTGTAATCAGCCAAAATCAATTGGTCTTTTGAGCATAGAGAGCATTTTTGAGTTTGATCATACGTCCATTATGTCTTTTATGTCAATGCCGCCTTTGTAATAAAGACATTACATATGGATATTCACTGATGGAACGGATTTTAAAAGTGGCATTGGAGCAACCCTATACTTAAAATGCAACGGTAAAGTGTAGCTAGAAAGTTCTTCAGTGCTAAATTTTATGAACATCAAGAGTCATGGCTTTAGTTTGGTATCGAAGTACTTTCCCTTAAATGCTGCCATTGCCAGACTAGCAATTCATGAATCAAGAATCAAATGATTGTTATCATCAATAGTGGTGAATTTTCTAAAAAGTAATTGAAAGTACCAGAATAATACTGAGTTTATCTGGCTTTGATTACTATAATTTAATGTGTCCTTTTACATGGACAAAATTCGAATCAAAACATTTATGTTAACAATATTGCTATAAACTTCTTAAAAAGAAACGTGGGCAGTTGATTTTCATGATCTTTATTCTATATTCAGATTATGTAATGATATTTTTCTGTATGTCTGCTTTAGAATCGGCTAGTATTTGTTTCAATGAGGAATGTAAACATATATCTATTCATTAAATTCACATGTTTTCGTTTAAGACGAGGTTTTGAAATCGAAATATTTATAACATTATTCAAAATAATACGCCGAAACACAGAAAAGTGTTTGCCTTTCTACGGAGCTCAACGAGCGTTTGATATTTGAAATCCTTTTCTGCATTTGCATGGTAAACAATAGATAAAATCCCCTTTCCTTTAACAGAACTACCATTAACTGCCATTAACCTCAATTAGAGAATGTAATAATAGAAAAAAATTAATAAAAAGGACAACTGGAATTACAAATTGAAAATACTAGACAGTGCAACACATCTCATTGTAACACCAGCACCTGACAACTGATTCCAGGAAAAGGTAAAATAACAAAAATACCAAACTCCAAGGAAAATTCAAAACGGAAAGTCCCTTATCAAATGTGAAAATAAAAAGCTCATATACATTAAACGAATGGAAAAGAACTGTCATATTCCTGATATAAGTTAACATCCTAATTCTGGATATATTTGAAATATTTAACACTATTAAACTTAAAATCTTTAGCGGGTATGAAATCAATAGGACTACAACTTCACGGTGAACTACCTTTATTAATGCAGAACGGATGGACACACAACCTAATAGATAATGCCCTTGCTATTATAAGTGTGAATTCATATGCACAGTCAAACTACCATTAGATATATGCTTACCATTACGGAAAACCTGAGACCGACTACGGTTTTTGGTGGGATTCAGTTGCCCAGTGTTTAGTTTTTTTTTATTACTTTGTAGATTTGTTTGTCATTTCGTTTAATTTGTTTTTTTGTTGTTGTTTTTTTTTTTGTCATGGTTTTGTCAGTTTTCCTTTGACTTTTTACTTTTTTATCGTCCGCTTATTTTTTTATATTAAATACATAAATACAGTTTACCTTGTCTTCTTAATGTGCGAATTTTCGGTGAGCCTGTGTATTTACAAAATGTACTACACATTGGAGCATCGTCACCTGGTGTGTTTCCTCCTTCTGACGCGAACACTCTCTCATTCGGAGTGACCGCAGTGGATATATCTTTAAAAAGAAAATCAATGTTTAAAATCTCACGGTCTTTAAGCTGAGGAAACAGATTTTTTAGTCCCCTTTATCTATTGGACTCCATAGGTTTTATACTGTAATTGTCTCCTTTGATTCTGATTAAATTGTTTGTATTTGATATCCACTGCTTTTCAAAATATTCCTAAGATATAAGTAGATGGAGCATTCTCATGGGCAGCATACACATACATTGGTTTTGTGTTTAGATGGGGAAAAAATAATAACAACCTGTTTGTTATTGTCAATCAAAAAAGTTGAATCCTCAGAAACAAGTATATTTGAATACAAACGAGATAGAAACTTGTCATAAAATTCGTCGTCATAATTCTATATTTAGCTTGCAAAATGGAGTTAATTTGATTGATTAATTGTTTGGCTAAACGTCCACAGGAAATACTTTTCAAATGCGTATTCGTGTCTCATCCATTTAGCTACATGCACTTATTATAATATTGTTTAGATGAATCAGAGGAATTTATATATGATGTATATGTAAATTCAATTCATATCATTATAACATTTTTTTTAAATTCTACGACAAGTAAATGTACTTCGATATTTATACAATTATATAATAATACAAAAATAATATGCCAAAACACTGAAATGGCTGAGTAAGAACGTTTATAATACAAAACCTTTATCGATAACTTTTTCAAACATTAATATTTACGTAGGATCAAAGCTATCTAAAGTTTCCTTAATTTCTTTTTCATATATATTTTTCCTTTCAAGTATAAATACATGTAATAATGTTCAGATATTTGCATACAAAATATGCATAATTGAGTATAAATTCCAGTATAATTTTCATAAATTTTCATTTCCTTACATCCACCATGAATTATTTCATAAGGTTTATCGGACGTGCATATGAGGATATTTTATATAGCCTTGTTGGCCAAGTGTTTTTTATTGGACAAACACAGTAAAGGACCAGTTGGAACGATGTCGCATAAGCATGAGTTCAAATTTCAATGAGAGATGGACACATATATGTGATACCGCAAACTTGCAGAACAAACATTGTTGGGCTGTATTTAAGACGATCTATTTCATGTATTTGTAATGTGTAGTGTCAGCCCTATTTTGCCCTTTTTAGTCCTTGGTTATCAAGAGAGTATGTCAGTTGTGAGTTGTAGACGTATATATTAAAAACACATCGATGTGACTACATGGAAGGTATTTATCAGCTTAAACGGCTAGTCTGCAAGGTATTCTTCGTAAATGCCACCATATGTCATGTCCAGTGTTACAATTAAATGATAGCCGACGAGAACAAAAAACAAGCATTCGACTTACATAAACTATTTTGTATACAGTTTAGGAGGAATTGCTAAGATGTCAGAGCATCATGGGTTAAAATGAGGAAAGGACAAAAACATATTACATATACTTCGTTTGCAAAATAATTTAAGAGGAAGTATATGTTATATTGATTGTTAGCCGTCTATGGTTATACGATGAAGAATGTTACTCGTAGAAATTATATTAAGACATAAATATATGTGTCTGCTGTTGTTTGTGTTTCACTTAATACTTGTCGTAGATTTTAATAATAATAACATAGCACGCACACACATCTGCCTTATACATCTGATCGTCTCCTGCTGATTGTTTTCAATGTTGTTTTTTTACTGTTTATTAGTATTTAGTTTTGAAGTCACATACCTGACAAAAGGTAAAAGTAATATAAATCTTTGGTCACTTTTGTTAATTTCATACAAAGATATAGCCGTCTGTTACCACTACCAGGATCACTGGTAAAGCTTGTGTCACTTCTGAAACATATCATAAAGCATATACATGTAGAAATAACATTCACAAAGATATTTAATAACTTAAACGGTACCAATTGTATTGTACCATATGCGTATTTCGACAATTAGTGTCTCAACATTGATGCTCTAGGCCAACATATTTGGAAATTCAAACCTTATTCGAACCAGAGCTTAGCATGGGGGAGGTATAATTCTTAATTTAAGAATAATTTCAAAATTTTATAACTGCAAACTTAAATAACACAATATCCACATGTTCGTTCCAGCACCAAAGTGAAAATCATACAATATAGTACATGTTACATCAGTCATTACAACAAGTTTAGGCTTTGTTTTCCCTTAAGCCTCAAAAAGGAGGAAATAAAAATGTTTGTGGTTGTGACATTTGTTTATCAGGTTTTTTTGTTTTCTTTTATATAGTGCGTTTAATCTGAACAATTTGTGCTTTGCATGAACCGATGAGTGTTTAGTATTTTATTATTTGTTTAAAATGTTTTTTCTTTTCTTTATTATATTTGCCATGCTTTTATCTATCCTTTATTTGTTTACCATTGTTCATTTTTTCGTAAACACCGCCAATTTTCTCATAGTAGAGCGGTTGGGTACTCGCAAGATTAAAACAAAAATAGTCATGTCTCTGTTGGAACAATTATTCACCAATGATCATAGATAACAAGCCTTTCGTTATAATTGCCTGGACTTGTAATTCGTATTCACTGTCCTGACACATTTGAGTCGTTGCATATTTTGTAATGCTAAGACGTTTATTTTCGCGAATTAATTTGCGTGCAGTTTATTTTTTCGCAATTCATCTGGCACATAATGTTCTACTTAATTTAGCCATTTTTTTGTTATTGAATCTGATTTTCGACAAAGATAAGGTTTATACAAAGGATCGTTTTTGCCATTTTATCATTATCGTAAAAATAAACCCCTCAGAAAATATTTTTGTTTTCAATGTGCACGAAGTAAAATTAACACTTTTGAATTTGGCGGGCATTTCCAATAACAATGAATACCAAGTTGTTGTTTGTCAAAAACGGTGGTGGCTACTTAATTCGGTTTTTGGTTTGATTTAGACATGGTGAATGTTGTTCAACAAAAGACTCTATAAACAAAAACATTCAACCCAAGTAGCATTACCTCATATAATATTCAGTATACTAATTCAATTTTGTCTTTCATCAAAATTTAATATCAGAATTATAAAATCTTGAAAAGGATATTTTGCGGACCTCAGAATTTTTTTTCTTGATTTTATAATGTTGATATTAAATGTTGCTGACTGCAATAATTGTAACTATCATTTTTATAAAACTAACCCCCAAAAAGATAGCAAAAAAGTGGTGCTATCCGAAAGGAATAATACTTAATGGTCTGTCTCGATTTATACGTTCTTCGCTTGAAAAAATGGAAAAAACACTATATAAATTTCATGCGTCCGAAGCTGTTTTCTGGATTTATCTTTTTCGAGATGGGACAAAGCCAGTATTTGAAAGCAACGGATGTGTACGAACCAAACAGTTAAAGAGCTTTATCACCAAAAATAACATAAAGTTATAACTAAATCCATCTTAGGAACAAGGCAAATATTTACTTTTATTGGCAAATTTTCCTCGGTAGGTAGCAAATTTGTTACAGCCCATAATGGCATATTCAAATTACTATTTAAAACACCACACTGATCAAAAATGCAATTATCTAGAAAGCAAATTTCTACAAACATCAATTTGTGTTTGTGATTTCCTTGATTCAGACTAGCCCGTGAGGTCTAAGGCACACTTTCCAAATAATGTCACTAGAAATTAATAAAATTCCCCTTTTAAAAACATTAGCAGGTTGACAAGGGACCCTGTCGAACCCCCAGGTGTGGAGGCAAACACCCAATGAAACAATTCAATGAAAAATAAAAGACATATTTAAGCCAGATTTTAAAGAATGTCATTCTGTGCACCATTATAGTTATGAACTGTAACTGTGACACTTGACCTTTGACCTACATCGTTGGGTTTCATCCTATTCCTACTTTCACCCACTTTCATTAGATAAATTAAAAAGCCTACAAGTGTGCCCCAAGAAATTACCAAGAAACAATGAATAGCATGAAATATTTATATATTTTGTCTGATTTATCATCTTTGACCTTGACCTTTAAACAGTTTTGCAGACAATCGATAGTGTTCTTCCCTTTTTTATATATTTTACTTATATAGGTTTATTTTGAATTCGGATACACAGTGTGAATCTGAATACAACGTGGATGACAAGGACGCAGGACGACATATATTTGACGTATTTGTCGTTCACATTCGCTCTTAGGTACATCAAACACAAAAAACCTTATGTATCAACATATGTGCAGTTCAATATATGTGTTTTGCTTATTTTTGTCGTTTGGTGACTGTCTCACTGATGTAATGTGTCAATATGATTAAATTGTACCATGTACGATGAAAAGATTTTAAAATAAATCCTGGCATATTTCTTACTTGAAAACTACAATTGTTTGTGTGTTAGAGATGTTTGAACTATTGATGCAAGTCCAATCGTCTATTGTTGTCCCAAAAGCGTTTAAATTGATGACGGAATTTTGTAACGTTGTAGTTGCGATGTTGAGAGTGGTTGATTGGTCTGAACTGTCTGATAATTTTGTGTAATTATATTCCCACGCAGCATTCTTTAGGTCTGTAGGCAAAGAACAAGTGGCATCTGAAAATACAAAATTTACAGTTCACAACTGATGAAATGTAAAAATTCGTTGAAAGGTACATCACGTCATCGATTAAAAAACTGAGAATTGACAAATTAAAAACAATTGTAAAATAATTTTCGGTACAATTCAGGTTTTTTTCCCCCAAAACACATAACGAGTAAAAATACTACTAAGACATCAATGTTCCAGAATAGCTTCCTGTCACTTTCAATCATAAGAATGTTGCGTAAATAGTGTCGCATTATATCGATTATCTCCGTAAAGCGAAATTGTAGTAGTTTTTATACTAACGATTGCATAAACAAAAGCTTGAGTAATAACACAATGCTTAAACCCATAACGACCTTATGGCAGCAAAGGTCATACTCTTATTATCGAACTCATTCAATGTATACTGTTCATTAAATTGATCATGCATTCACCAAGATGACCAAGATTTCAAATCAAAAGTCAAAACATTTCGTAGTTTGAATGGTGATAAAAATTTATACAAAACGAACTAAATGTTATATGATATTGAAAGTACAGCTATAATTATGGAGATATTTTCCAAAGGGTTGTTGTATTGGAGGAAGATCCAACCAACATGTAATAATATGTGAAACACTACATTAACCGTGTTATCTGTCGAATTACAGAAACCTCATCGGAAGTTGTGAATAGGTTCCTAAATGTTTTTAGATGTTTCATAAGTACTAATGGTTGATGAAATATACCGATTTTCAAAGTATCTTTGGAGTTTATTCATAGGTTGTCTTAACTAAATAATGTCATAGTATAGTTCTCTTGTTTATTGTCGCTGTCCGATATGGATGAATAACATTAATCGTATTTCTTTTAAAACAATTGCTGGACTATTTGTTATTGTAGTATACAGAAACAGTTAAACTATCCGGACAAGAATAAACACACCAATATAATAATAATTGTTAGCAAGGATTATTTACATCATGACTAGATAGTAATTGTGTTTTTCTTACTTTTTACAGAGATGCTTACAAGGATATGTTTGCTGGATGGCCTGGCATGAAATGATGTAGGACTACGGTACATATAGTAAATGCAAATGAAAAACAAACCAATTTCAGTAAACAAAAATCCAAAAAAGGAAAAGCACACATTAAAAAAGTAATATAATAAATGAATACACATTAGTTGAAATAATGTGATATACTTATTATAGGTTTTAGTATACACCATCTTCGCTAACTTTTTGTTACAGTCTTATCACAGAAAATAATGTCTCTTAACCATTGTGGTTAACTATGAAAAAAAATAAAATTCATTATTTTAATGGTATGAATGATAATATGTTGATTTAAATAAGACTAAAACAAAAGCGCAAAACAACCAGAAAAATACACCTAAAAGTCAATGTATCTTTCTATAACCTTAACCATATGACAAGTTCTATATCGCAAAAAAATATTAGACATACTGTAAATTGATTGACGTATCTTCTACCAATACTGACAAATATTTAGATATAAAAAATAAAACTCAATATCTATAGATTTAAGAAGATGTGGTATGAGTGCCAATGAGACAACTGTCCATCCAAGTCAAAATTTATAAAAGTAAACCATTGTAGGTCAAAATACGGTATTTAATACGAAGCCTTGGCTCATACCGAACAGTAAGCTATAAAGGGCCCCAAAAATTACTAGTGTAAAACCATTCAAACGGGAAAACCAACGGTCTAATCAATATAAAAAACGAGAAACGAGAAACACTTATGAACCACACCAACAAAAGACAACCACTGAACATCAGATTCCTGACTTAGGACAGGTGCAAACAATTGTTGCGGGTTTAAAGGTTTTAATGGTATACTTGTTTTAAAATATGATGAGTTACATTGGTATCGAGAAAAGTCATTAAATTCAGTACTGAAACATTTTTATCCGTCAAACTATTATTTTAAAGTGGTCTGTAAGCATCTCTGTAAAAAGTAAGAAAAACACAACTACTATCTAGTCATGATGTAAACAAATCCTTGCTAACAATTATTAACCTTTTCGTCGATGACACAAACTATTTGTTTCATAATAATGCTAAGTGATAAGTGTCGTTGACATCAAAACATTTGTTCTGATAGAGAAGAAGCTACTCCTCTGGACTAAGACTTGAACAACGAATGCTTAGCTTGCTTGTGATTTTGTCATTAATCGTAGCTGCAAACTATCTCACACGTTTCCATTCACTCAAGCATGGCTTATTATATACTATTCAACTCAAACTTAAATTTTTGTGAAATCACATTATGTTAAAATATTGTATTACCGGTAAACAACAACGACCACGGAAGGAAAGAATGACAACATTACCTTGAGCCATACAATTTTCAAGTAGGTGCGTATATTAAAGCTATAAATAGACATGATCGATATAAACATGACCGAATTTGTTATGTTTTCCTGTTGATGTAATTTAAAACATCCTTTACAGTCATTTATGTTCAAGACTTGAAAATATACTATAACAAATAGAAAGAAAAATTAAAGGTAAACCGTTTTTTCAAATTGTAATGCATAGAGTTTCTGGATAGAATTTAGAGGCATTTTCTCGTCGCGATATAGTCTTCATGTGTTGATGCGGTGTAAAGCAATCATCAATTAATCAAAGTATCATTTTCTGTTGCTATCTTATTATACCGGTGATACATGTAGGACTTATTATTTCCACACAGCATTTAAAAGGGAACTCATGGACAGCCGTTACAAAATTATCTTGGGTGTACTTGCTGCATGTCCTGTTCTACGTTAATCAACAGGAAATAAGTTTACAAATCAAAAGAACATAGTGTAATCCTCATCAGGTGTCTATGCTTCGTATATTATAATACGTTCATTTCTAATTAACAATAGAATTTAACCGAATATATACTATACTTAATTCCAACTTAAATATATTTAATCGGCATTTGTAAAAAGACAGACACAATTGTCGCTTTGCTCTTAACATATTCCTCTTCTGTGATATAGTGTTATATATGTTTCCACTTTGTTTGTAAGTTTTATTCATGTAATTGTTATGCCAATTCGACTTTAATTGAAATGCTAATAACCGATAAGCAAAAAGCCGAAAGTAAAATATATTTCCTCGGTTGAAACCAGTGAGTTATTAACATTAAAAATTCGGTGTGGAAGATACCTAACCATCAAGTTGGGATAGATAATGAACGGCCTACCTGAAAGTCTATTTCCATTTAATATCAGAAATAAGCCCAACCTAAACATTATGTAAATATACATGTTTGAAATGTATCCATCCATCTTATTAAAGTTATTAGAACATGTACTATTAACACATGTGAATCACATTATCCGCTTCGCCTACATAAAAGGATGTATTATTCGGTTACGGCAGTGAATAAGTAAGTGCAACTTCTTATATAATATGAATAATAATTGATCACTCTCACGCAGGGAGTTATAAGTTGCGTGACATGTTATATTATTTAGCTCAAAGTATAATAAGCAATAAAATAAGAAAGATGGTGGACAAAAATTAGAAAATTACACAGTAAAGTGGTGTTGGAATTGATAAGCATATCTAGTTACTTTTGAAAGCAAATTGATCGATGTTCGATAAACTTTCGGAAAAAGTATACCACGGTATGATTGATCATTGCAGGTATGTTTTATGAACTGTAAGACATTCTACAAAAATGAATGTTAACAAGTTCATAAATGCTTATTTAAGTGTACTCCTATTTGAGAGTTTCCATTTTTGAGAAACTCACAACGATTTATACTCGTAAAATATTCGATTAAGGAAAGTCGCGTGATGAATGGCTCGTAAAAAGTTGACGTTTTACAGTAAAGTAGCACTTTATACAACATGTACAAAGACATCTCAGAGAGCATGAACTAGGACGAATTACCTGCTTAATCTCCGTTACCTTCACGTGCTGATAGATATATGTTGTCGCAATAATTCGCAGTATAATGATAATATTGGTAGCCTTTCCCCCGCCCACCTTTCCATTAAAATTACGTTTAAGGATATCATGCCACAAATACAGAGAAAAAGGATGTAGATACGAAATATTAAAAAACAAAGTTCGATGCCCAAGATTTACCTTCAACTATTATATTAACCATGTTCACATGTTAACAGTGAGGGTAATACAAAACGTGTATGGCAAAACGACTTAAATTTATCAATACAAATGTATTATTATTACAATGTATGTGTCATCCTCAGCATTCAATAAGACTCGACACAGTTCAACTATACGACTTTAAAAACGCAACACTAGATTATTATTTTGAAATCTCGTTCTTAAATATGCAATTTTTGTAAAATAAATGTATAAACATAAACTTCATTCATTACTTGATTGTCTAAAAAAAAATTGCAGTTCGAAAGTTGAATTGATTACGTCATGTGCAATGTTCAAATCATGTGGTATTCACTGAAACCTGGTTTTTTTCCCTTATAAATGGATGTATCATCGTCGAAGGCAATGACTGCCTGTAACCAACGCCTAAATGATTGACAGAAAGGTCAACCAGTTCTGCTGGGCATGTTTGGAGTTCTGTTGTGTACAATCTGATTTGGCCTCTGTCTCACCCATTACTGTGTGATTTGACAATTATGTGGTTTAAAGTTTAGGGCTTTAAATGTTTTTTTTGCAGTCGATTATTTGGCATTTCAGTATATAGGAAACATTAATGGAGTGAATCTGTCTGCCATGGCATTGGACGACTTGATAAGCGGTTGATGTTGCGGCCGTAAACATGTTTGACTAATGACGTTGCGTAATCAGATTTTATTGCCGTGGCGTTGTCACTACATATTGGTCTGATCATGAGAGGCCACCAACAAATCAAATCTGCGCGAACCGTTGTTGTAAGGACTATAAGAGGAGTTTCTGATGTGAAACTGTCTAGCAACAGCACGTTCGTGTATTCCTGCCTCCAATATTCTTTTGGCCTGATTCGGATTTTTATCACTCAGTTTCGAAAATATTGAAAAGCAACATGTTTTTATTGATTCAAGTGGGGGTAGGGATTGACAAAATTGTTTCACGAAGAAAAAAAAAGAAAAAAATCATTTATGGGTTTCAAGTTTCCCTTTATGAAAATCGTGCGACTTCAATAATCCGGAATGTTCATTAACCTCTAGTAAGTCAGGTATTGCATTTTTTTGCTAAACAGAAAGAAGTATGGTAAGCATGAATAGTAGTATTATGAGGATCAATTATATTTTGGTAAATCAAATCACTAAAATGTGTGTTGCGTTTTTAAAGTCCGTCAGTATATTATCGTTTTGTGGTTTACTACGAAATATTTTGTATCATATATAATCCAAAACTAAAAAAAAAAAAAATAACCCAAGATTACTTCATCTAAAATGAATTGTCATGTCTTGCGGCGGCACAATCGAATTACTTGAAAAACCACTACGAAAAGGTGTGTTTTAGATAACCATTGATTTGACGTATTCACAAATTTAGCCTTCTTTTTCTAAACTTTTGTTTCTATGTAAATCATAAAATTTTTCGAGAAATTATGCCCTATTCACAAGCTGGTTGATACAGATACGTTAGTAACAATGGATCATCGGAAGACTTCCAAGGAATGTTAAAAAATCACCATACATTGCAACTGACACATCAGAAAATCGTACTTTCAAGCTTATTGTATGGCATGGTATGGGGTATGTTAATTGTTGCAACCCATGTGGTCAACTGTACGTGCTCGCGTCATACTCCGTTCTTCTATGGAAAATTGCCTCACTGACAATAAACATCACAAAACACTTCTTGTGACTGAACGAGAAAAAAAAACTTAGAAATTAAATAATTCTTTAACAGGAATTCACATGTTGATAGATGACGAAACATTTTGTAACCTATTTTTTAGTATGTCAGCATTTGCACAAAAACACTGTAAGTTGCAATTTTGTTTCCTTCACTTTTCAAGATTTTTCGTAAATAATCATAAAGAAGCACACGATATCCCGTAAATATTTCCTTTCGGTGAACCAGAAAAATATTATGACATTTAGAAAATAAAATAAAAAAGATTTGATATGCTTTTTAACTTCAACAATCCCCATTACAGTTAAGCAAATCTAATTAAACTAAGGTTATCTCAAGTCTTTCTACTTGCAAATCTCTCTCAATACGTTAGTTATGTTATAGCTGTGTGAATGTCAAATGTTTTCCTCTGATCTCTGGAAATTTCGACGGCGCCTGATTTAAACCTTTAAATTGAACTTTTATCATTTTCGTAATATCATTATAAAACATACGCTCTTAAGAGCCCGCGTCGCTGACCTAGGTGTTGGTGCATCTTCAACAATTGATCCAATTGTGTAAACTAAATATATTTCATGACTCAAATCTCTATTTTGTTGCTCTTGTATGTTGTATTGCTAATCATTTTTGTCTTTTTACATTTTCTCTCTATCTTCCATATCTTTTGCTCAAAACACAAAAAGGAGCAATTACTCATTTAATGACATATTGGCAGATATTGCTTAGTTGATTATACAGTGGAGATCACTTCTAACCTTTCATCAAATCTGTCAGAATCTGTCAAGAGAACTGTTCTAGGACAGTATGTAGAACTGTCATCCTGACACCTTTTAGACAGTTCTAGCTAAAACAGTTCTAACCTAGAACTGATTTGGTCAGTTCTACCTAGAACTGATTTAGACAGTTCTACCTAGAACTGATCCTGACAGTTCCACACTAGAACAGTTTTAGACAGTTCTACCTAGAACTGACCAAATCTTTGGTCAGTTCTACGACTAGAACAGTTCTACGGCTAGAACAGTTCTACGACTAGAACAGTTCTACGATTAGAACTGATTTGGTCAGTTCTACGGCTAGAATTGATTTAGTCAGTTCTATCCATAGAACTGTTTTAAGAACTCTTTGTCTTAAATATAAATAAGTCAAAAGAATATAATATATATTAAAAAATTGCAGTGACGTCATTTAGAACTGTTCTACAATCCTGACAGGTTTGGTCAGTTCTACGGCAAGAACAGTTTTAGACAGTTCTGCTGACAGTTATCTTGCAAACTATAATAGATAGATAGAAACAAATACAGTGGAGATCACCTCTAACCTCTCATAAGAACTGTCAGAACAGATCTCCACTGTATTTGTTTCTATCTATCTATTATAGTTTGCAAGATAACAGTAAAAACACGCAACAATTGTTGAGAAAATCGTCATAAATAAGTCAGTTCTGCTGACAGTTCTACGGTTAGAACTGATTTGGTCAGTCCTGCTGACAGTTCTACGACAAGAATTGATTTGGACAGTTCTACCTAGAACAGTTTTAGACAGTTCTACCCTAGAACTGATCCTGATAGTTCTACCTAGAACTGATTTGGTCAGTTCTACCTAGAACTGATTCTGACAGTTCTACTTAGAACAGTCCAAGGGTAGAACTGTTCTAGGTAGAACTGTTCTAGGACAGTTTAGAACAGTTCTATGACAAATTATTCTGACAGTTCTTATGAGAGGCTAGAGGTGATCTCCACTGTATTTGTTTCTATCTATCTATTATAGTTTGCAAGATAACAGTAAAAAAACGCAGCAATTGTTGAGAAAATCGTCATTAAATTGAGACGACTGACGATTTCAGCCTGTTGACCTATTTAGAGAGCTCGTATTGCTGATCACTTTTGTTATTCAAAATTCACATCTGTCTAATATAGTTTTCAAGATAATAGACAAAAATGCTAAAAATGGTAAAAATCGTCATTATAGTGCAAATATTTCAATTAATGGCCGAATAACAATTGTAGCGATTTGACTTACATGTATATATTATGTCATGTACACGACGTATGTTGATGATCATTTTTGCAATTAAAAGACTCTATATATCTATAATAGTTTTCAAGATAAAAGAAGAAAACAAAATCAAATCGTAAAATTCGTCATTTAAGGGCAATAACTCCTGTAAAAAGTCGTCTGAAAGTTTGATGCAAAAAGACTTTGGGTATATCTCAACATTTTTATCCCGTCATATTTTCTATATTTATAGCAGTTTTCAAGATAAAAGACAATACTTCCATTTTACGCCTATTCTTCTTTGTTTTTACTCCAATTTAGATAGTGGCTGAGTTTGTTTAAATTTTGACCGGTGGTTTCAGAGGAGACTATCTTTGTAAAAGTAAACGGACGATTACGGACAACTGACTTCAAGTGATGGGAAATGCACACACTGGACTTTTGGGCAAGGTCAGCTAAAAATGAAATCTTTATGAGCAAAATTGATAATATTGATAAAAAATCGTCAACAGACGGAGAGTATAAAGAAGTTTCCCCGCATGATATTGTCTTTTTAATTCAAAACGGAAATCCTTATATTACGATCGTGGTTAACGCTACATCGATTACTTGTAAACTGATTTAAACTTTTAAGTATTAGCTAGAATCCATCTTTTGTAATGTTGTTGAATAAAGATATCACGGTTTGCACCTAAATTTTCATCGCGATATATATTTTTCAAAATAAGAAAAAAATATAGAACTAACTGAATTAAAATTGTATACGATATTTAACAAACGAAACGCAAATGAAAATAAAAAAATAAAATAAGTTTTTTATTTCAAATAAATTCGCCAAATATAAAATGTTAAAGTACCACAAAATACCTACTTTATATTGAATTAAAACCTCTAATTAGATATACTAACAAACTTTGTACTCATACCTAATAAATGTAACTGAAGGTTTGTGTACCAAACTCACCCAGACAATGATAGACACTGGTGTCCTCCCCGATGGACTTTGGCATCCAGAGCCCTGAAGGTGTAGATCTCCTGTAATGTTTCAGCCATTAAGAATTACTGTAAATACTTTAGAAATGTATATCTATCAGAAAATTCACTGGGAGATGTGCGTGAGTAGGTGAGCAAACGAGATTGTGTGGGTGAGTGAACGAGAGTAGGTGAGTGAGTGAGTGAGTGAGTGAATGAGTGAATCAAAGTACGTACGTGTATTGTTGATGATTCAATCAAGTTTGAAGTTCGAAGAGCATATTGTGAAATGAAAATTGGAAGCCAGTCCTAAGAGTAAAGAATCGTTATCATGCTAATTGTACAACCTTAATCATTTCTTAATGAAACCTCGACTTAAAGTTTGTTTTGCTCTGGTATTTTATTCCAAGTTAAATGTTTATGCATGCTCCTAGTATGTAATAGATAGTTTTAAAGTTTCTAACAAATAAAGCATTTTGTACATCGACACTGACTTCAACACAACTACACATCGTTAAAAGGAGATTAAGCTTGCTATAAAACCAGGTTCAACCCACCATTTTATCGGAAAATGCTTGACGGGTGCCACATGTGGACCAGGATCTGCTCTTCCTTCCGAAGCACCTGAGATCACCCCCAGTTTTTGGTGGGGTTCGTGTTGCTTAGTCCTTTAGTTTTCCATGTTGTGTCATCTGTACTATTATTTGTCTTTTTGTCTTTTTATTTTTGGCCATGGCGTTGTCAGTTTGTTTTCGATCTATGAGTTTGACTGTCCTTCTGGTATCTTTCGCCCCTCTTTTTTTGTACCAAGTCAGGAGTGTGACATTTGTTTTCGTTTCGTTCCGTTGGTTTATAAAGTTTAACGTTTGGTATCATCAGTTTTTATGGACTTCCCCTATTTGAAAATACCTTGGCGTTTTGAATTTTATTCAATACTTTTTTAAGAAAGCATCATTGACCTACGAGATATGACAATCTTTGGTCTGAAATATTGCATTTGATTTTCAAATTTAGAACATTCATAATCTTTTTAAACGTTTGTGGATTAGTACGTCATTTTGTTTTTGTTTTTGTAAATTCATTTAATTTCTATAACGTACTAAAAAGTTTCTATCATAATTTTCAAGGCGAGTTGTTGCTTACTAGAATGATTTAGGTTCTTCATGGTTTTTTTGTAGACATGATATAAATATTTTTAAGTATTTTTAAAAGTAATAAATGATGATATATATTTTTGCTTTATTTGTACTTGTACAAATAAAATCTCCTGTTACCCCTCTTCCATGTTGAGCAAGCGGTAATGTGGATATTTCTTTTTGCGTACCAGTTCATTTTGGGGTCTTCTTCGCGGTCCGCGTTTAAACTATGTCGTTTTCTTTAAAAAATTAGAGACAATGATTTAGATTTTAACAATTAAAGTTTCAAGTGTTGGGTGTAAATTCCAGGATAAAAACAATATATGTACATTGTCAGAAAATATCAGATGTATTTGTATTCGCTGCGAAACAAGAGAAAAGCTCGGCGAGCCTCGTTTTCCGTCCTGTTTCTAAAGCTCATACAAATAAATTTTATATTTTCCGACAATGTACATATATTGTATATTTATTAGCACATTTTAAAAAATGGACAAAAAATAGTTTTTTTTACCCTAATAGATAAATCGTTTATATATATTCGTGGTGTTGCCCTAAAAAACAATTACAAAAAAAAAAAAAAAAAAAAAAATAAGTGCTTATCTGAATATTACTGCTTCTTCATAAATTCATTTAATTTCTATAAATCAAGGCAACAGTAGTATACCGGTGTTCAAAAGTCGTAAATCGATTGAGGAAAAACAAATCCGGGTTACACACTGAAACCGAGGGAAAACCTCAACTATAAGAGGAAAACAAAGGAACAACAGGAACACGAAAGTGCAACAAAAAAAAACGCTAACATACATAGAAACGAACTATTTGATAACAACTGTCATATTCCTGATTGGTACAGGACGTTTTAAGAAAAAATGGTGGGTTAAACCTGGTTTAATGGCTAGCCAAACCTACCGCTTTATGACAATGTTTAAAAATATCGCTAAAATGACAACACTACGTGATAGAAATACAGCACAAAAACACGCAAGAACATTCATCACAGAGAAACGCACTAACAAATAATATAAGGGTCGACACAACATGCAAACCGCAGAACAACGACGAACATATTTCATCAACGACAAACACCACAGGTTTATAACGTACTCAAAAGTTTCTATCATAATATTTAGAGAGAGTTGTTGCTTACTAGAATGTTTGGATTCTTAATGGTAAATTTGCTCTTCCATTTCGTGCTCTCGAAACGCCATATTGCGTATAAAACTATAAGCCTAATATCTACGATAATCTTTCTTATTATTTTAATATGAAAGCAATTATAATGTTTTGTTTTATATTTTTATACTACAGGAAATGAATCGTTAACACCATATATGTGGGTCAAAACTAATCAATGGAAAAATCAACATTAAAATAGATTTTTATACCAAAGGTTAATGACTGGGCCTTTTATATTTGGTCGATATGGATACAATGTTCTTATGAAGAGTACATTTTATGTCCCTAACTGTTTTACAGGAAAGCATGTAACATCGAAATGGAGGCCTCTTATAAAAACAGACATTAAATTTTACATGATTCAAAATAAATGAAATGCTACTAATAAAACGATGAATACAGCATGATCGTAATTGTATATGTCTGTCTCTGTATCTTTGTATGAATGAATTCAATACGGCAACAAGCTTCAATGAAAGAGAGGTGAAATATGCCAAAGGGATATTCAAACTCAAAAGTCGATGTTCAACTTACAACACTATTTTGAAAAACGAAAAACTACGAAATGACAAACAACAGTCTACAAAACGCAACATAGAAAATTTCAGACTGAGTAAGAGAAATCCCACCAAAACCTGGGAATGACAGCAGTTGAATCTGTATGGAAAAGTGGGAAAGTGATTAGATAATTAGAAATGTATACTAGTATACTATTCTTACATTGTAGGAAAATATAAAATAATTTGTATGATCGTAAACAACAGGAAATAATGGAGGTTTAAAAGGCTTTTTTCCTGTTTCTTAAGAGTACAACTATTTTTCAAATGTTTTATACAAGTACAAATAGTGTTTATAAGTAGCAATTAAACATTAACATGTAAACATTTATTATTCGTTTATTTCCAACCACTGAATTTGTTCTTTAAGGCGATTCACATGGTTTTGTCGTGGACCGTGAAGAGTTATTGAACTGTGACGTTAACAATAGATTTAATGTAACCGTTCGCTCGAAACAGAAGCAACATAGATTGACAATATGAATTAAACGTTTATTATACAAATATCCCTCATCTATCAACCTGTATTTGTTTACATGTATCAGACATTTCGATTTTAGAATTAAAAAAAACTAAACTTTTCAATAGTTTATTTTGTAATAATTTGCTAATACATTTAGATATCTATCGATTGTTAAGCAGAATTTGAAAAAAAATAATGAATTCAGAAAAGTATATGAAATGATTTTAATTTCCATATAAGCTTTGAGATGCATATCTGTACGTTGTTCCGTTCTTTTGTTCTTTGCTCTGTGTAAAGATACCGTTGATCTTTCGTTGTTGTCTAGTATGGGTGTACTATTTGAAAATAAACAAATAAAGTTTGATATGTATATCATCAATGCTAAACTGTAAGTCGTGCGTAAAATATTGAAAACATTCTCTCTCAATTTCAATATTTTACTTATTATCAATGTTTGGACAAACAAAATAACACTTTTGTCACCAAACATATTTTAGGTGAAAATATTGTCCTCAGAAACTTTACAAACATGTATAAATCATCCTAATGCTATATGTCATTGTAAATTATTTCAAAAGATGTTGAAAAATTCATCTTTTGAATTTCTAATCCTGACAATATCTTTGAAATGCGAAACATTGCAAATTTTGAAGGCGAGGTGAAAATACACTTTAAAGGAAGAAAACAGCTTTCCTCATAAAACTATCTTAAAATAAAGTCGCTTTGCAATAAACAACTGTAATTATCACTTGTCATTTGTGAAGCCCTTAAAACCCAAATTGCTTATACAGATATAATCGGTAACTGTCTTACACACTGACAATTAAACATCTCTTCATAACACAATGCTTAAGTAAATTCAACAAGATCCTGCAGTGTGCTAATAACTGTCTCAACGATACAAACAGCAGAAGTAACTACGTTTGCATGCATAGTTTGCATGTTTCAAAAGCCTTAGTGTATTTATCATCATCTTATATTCAGGTTTAACCCGTTTGCTTAGACTTATTTCTAGTATGAAAGTAAATAATTCAATGTCCTTTTACTTGAAATAAAAAGTAAGAATGTAATATTCAGACAACTATCGTCATGGATAATGTTTATCAATTGTAGAATTATTACATCATTTGATATTGACTGACGACATCGGTAATTTGTGTGCTTTAATATTTTAGGTTGACGTGTTATATATAAGTTAACCTGTCAATCTTTATTGGCATATTTGTTTTTATTTCTTTTAACTTAGTTGACCGAACAATTCTATTCTTCGTCAATCCTGATATCTTTATACTCACATAGTTAGAAGTATCGGTAGACACTTCAATATTCGACCGATTGGCTCTTCGGCGTCTTTGGTAATGATAATAACCCTGGTTGACCTATACATAGAAAGGCATAGGCATGTTCATTTTATTTTAACAAAAGTATACAAATAAACATATAGCTTTTTTTCAATATCCTGGCATTATTGTCATTCTATCTTTCCGTTATGTATTTAGGATCTAGATATTTACATTGTATGTTCAAATAACTAGCATGTAGAGAAACACTGAAATTACATCATGGTAATACGTATCGGTTCAAAACAATAAATGTCTTTATTAGCCTATATCTGTACTCGACTGTACTGATTTTTACTCGACCAGTCTGAATTGGTCTGAAATTTACTTGATATTACTCGACTGTATTCTGAACCATACTTCTTTTCAAACGAGATGTATAGAGACACACACACGTTCATTTTTGTCTATAAAGAAGTCACTCCTAACTATCCTACTACAGTCCCTGTAACGTAAAAGTTAACACTTTTTTCATTCGGGAATCGTACGTACAGCGTTCGGGAATCGTTCGTATAGCGTTCGGTCATCGTTCGTACATCATTCGTATAGCGTTCGTATAACGTTCGGTCAGCGTACGTTCATCGTTCGTTCATCGTATGGTAAATGCCATCGTTTAGGGTTTTGTATATCGTGTGGTTCATGGTATCGTAAAGCGTTTTATTTGTCGTATGTAACATGGTATGGTTTAGCGTTTAACGTTTCGTTTATCGTATGGTTTAGCGTTTCATCTATCGTATGGTATATCGTTTTTCGGGTTTTATTTCAGAAAATTATTTCGTTTATTATTTTGAGTTGAAATAATTTTATATAAAAAAAAAATGCGAGATAAAAAAAAAAAACAAGATTGGATTGATTAATAGTTGGTTGCGTACTTTTTTATTTAATACTAATTGCGTAATTAATAACATTTCAAATTTGATCTCATAAAATGTTAAAAAAAAACTAACCTAAACAATACCCTTAACTAGTTCAATGGAACGTGAATTATCTTTATAGCTTTATAGCTTTATAGCTTTATAGCTTGCTGTTCGGTGTGAGCAAAGGCTCCATGTTGAAGGCCGTACCTCGACCTATAATGGTTTACTTTTATAAATTGTTATTTGGATGGAGAGTTGTCTCATAGTCATATCTTCCTATATCTATCTATTTTACATAAAACTTATGTAGTCGTAAAAAATAGTATTGGTTGTGACGTTTTATTTTGATTGAGAAACGTTTAGCAATGCAATAAACTTACTTTAAATATATTATAACTTAATGTAGATTTCGAACTGTATACCATTTCTAACCGATAGAAAAAAATGTTTGCAACTAATATCATTACACTATAGAATAGCCTGCTGTATAACACGAAGGGGAAACATTTCCTTCCATCACATTTTGACAGTAGTACATTTGTTGTAACATGAGACAAATACGGGAAATATATTAGTCTCTCTCTCTCCTCCTCCTCCACCAAATATTTCTTTAATCCAAATATTTCCTTGACACAATAAACTATGTATAACTTTCTATAAATGAGGCTTTATATGAGATACACGTACTATATCTAAATGTATTAAAAAAAGACAAGTTATCAATGGTATTTGTTCCCCTCAATGTCAGAGTCTAATTTAAGTCGAAGATTGCCAGGGATATATAACAAAAATCGTGAAGACTTCTTTTAAACCCAGCGTCGCTTGCAATTGCTGCTGTTGGTGTTAAAACTGTTATTTTGACTGTACAAAGTGTTTAAGTCCATGTATGAGTAAAATACAGAATGAAAAAAATAACTCTACCTTTTTTTCATACATTTATTTAAATTAGAGGTAAGCTTCTGTCCAAGTTTCATAAGTTTTAACGCAAATTATTTAGATCGAATCACCTTAAATAACCAATTAATTGTATATTAAAAGTTATTGATTTGTTCTTTACATACGAATCAATGAAATATTTGTCACTGGACGTTATGCATGCAATCAATGATCAATTACAAATCTACAGTATTTATAAACATACTGCAAATGTATATATGAAAGAGACTAAATAATATAAATATTAATTCTTTCACGCATATTTGAAGGATTGAAACAATCAGTTCTACAACTGGTTGTTATATAAAGACTTAATGCAAATTTTACAAATATTACATGCCTCTGTGAACTTTCATATTGGCGCACCAAATTATTTTCTTTTATCGTCCATAGCTCGTTTTCCGATTCACTTAAGGTTTTTACCGATCTTCTTAATTGTTTATTACATTCTGAAATTTAAATCCTACACAAATTGCCAAAACTTTTATTCTCAGTCTAGACAGCGTAAAAGATGAATGCACCTTTGTACAAACGGTGTTTTGAAGACCGATATCCATTTGCGCTGAAAAAAAATTAATTTGCCACAACTTAATTACGCTAATTCTTCTTTTGCAGCATTCATTTGCGCCAATAAATGTAAAATGTAGAAATACCGCAAAGGACCGATTAGTGCACGAAGAACAAAGTTTTGCACTTATTTTGAAATCAATGATAGTATTGACTCAAAGAACAAGGCATATAGAAGGAGACTTTCTAAAAGTACATAATTTCAAATTTGAAAATCATATCTTTAGTAATTATAAATTGATTTAATGTTTTATCGACACGCGCCACCCTCCGTTGATTGTCACTTGTGTAATCGATAGAAATTCGTGTTTGTTCAACCTTGACCCGTTTTGGATCCACTTGTATACTGATTAAACATATTTATCATATTTCAATTTTCTCTGATCTTTTTCGTTTGTTTATTACTGCTGTATTTATTTTGTTTTTCTGTCAGTTATATTTCTTAATTCTATGTAATAGTGTATTTTCTATTTTTTTTTTTAATTTGTGTTCCTTTTCTTTTGCTTGTTTGTTAAGCTTACTCTTTAATAGTTCTCTAGTATTTTTTTATAAAAATATTTTAGAATGTATATATATATTCTTATTTACCAGCACATAAGATACACATGTTCAAAGTATAACAGTTTATTACATTTTTGTCGAGCCTGCGACTTTTGTCGCAAAAGTGAGACATAGCGATCCTACATTCCGTCATCGGCGTCGCCGTCGGCTAGCGACATCCACAAATATTCACTGTAAGATTAAAGTTTTTGATATTTTAATTACTTTCTTAAACTATTCTGGATTTCTACCAAACTTAGACAGAAGCTTGTTTATGATCATAAAAATCATGAGTATCCGGGAGGAAATTTTGTAAAAAAAAATCATGTTTATCCGTATTTTACTTATAAATGGGCTTAGTTTTTTCTGTCATTTAACATTACATTCACTCTGTCACGGCGTTAAAGTTTTAAAAATTTTAATTACTTTCTTGATATATCCCGGATTTCTACCAAACTTGGACAGAAGCTTAGAATTCTATTTATCCGTACTTTATTTATAAATAGACTTAACATTACATACACCCTGTGATTAAAGTTTTTAAAATTTTAAAAACTTTCTTAAACTATCCTGAATTTGTACCAGTGACACGCGCTGATTAAAAAGTCAATAAGTTTACAAATACGTACCTATGTGCATTTAATAAAGCAACACTTGAACTTATTAATATCATTTTTTTTAGTGGAATTTTATTTTTATTTATATTTAATGTTACCCGATAAAATTCACTTGAATGAGTATTTCTACTGTAAATATCACACGTACTATCTACAATATACGGAAATGACACGGCTACGTATTGTAAAGTTACTGAAGGAAGATTAATGTCAAATTCATATCCCCGGGCGACGAAATTACCGGTTTGTCAAAAAATATAGAGAAAATGGAGAAATATAATGCGCGCTGTTAAATCATGCTTTGCAAGGATATTTACCAGATGACTTCTTTTTTGGTCGTCAATTACTTAATTTTTTCTAATGGACTTCTTCATAAATCAAAAACACGCACAAATTTTAGACCGAAAAACAATCACATGGCATTGAATGATTTTCCAACTCAAAACTAGTTATAATTGCCTCTTAAATTTTTCATTTTTCTCGTTGGGTTGCTTGTCCATTGACGTTGATCCCAAAATTGTCAATAAAATTGAATTTGTCGAAGTAAATTCCATTGAGCACAAAACAAAACCAAACCAGATTTGAATTATATGGATATTCAAATTTTTTATAAGAAATATGAAGAAAAATGATAATTATCTTGTTTGACTTTGAAACACGGATTTAATTCTTTAAATTACATTTTGCACAAAAAACACCTCAAATCTTCCTTGGAATGAGAACTCTTTCTTCATAGAAATGTATGAAATAGTTTACACTGGACATTAAACAAGCCAAAAATCAAACAACTAAAATATATCCAAGGGATTATTATTATGCATGTACATAAATGCCAAATACCATATAAATATATTGAATAATCAACAAAATATAATGCTGCCAAAAAGAAACATTATCATAAGGATATCAAAATAATTCACAGGTTTTTTTTTCAAAATGAATTGCAAACAATCCTCTTTTAGAAGCATTTTCCAATGTCCGTGCTATCGCTCCGTATCGGTCAATTATTTTTAGCATAAAGTTTTTAAATCGATGAAACACAATTATTATATAAAGAAGTCACAGTAAACATTAAACTTATGCATGGCGGAAAAGAAACATAAGAAAACAATAGGTGCAATGTGCATGCAGCCTCGCAAATAATATTAAAAATTAATAACATTTAATTTATTTTTGATGGAATGATGAAGTTTCCAGAACATAGAAAATACACCAGAAAATCTATTATACTAAAATACACTATCAAAATGTGCTTGGTGTCCATTTTACAATATATCGTTTAAGAATTTAGTGTATTCTTATTCATTCCGACATCTGTGTCCCTGGATCTGAATAAGAAATTGCGAGGACGTTATGCTCAGTTTACCTTTAACATGATTTTTTCACAGAATGTTATAAATATAAATTTTTTTTTTTTAAATTTTTCGCGAAAACAAGCTGGCCCTAAAGCTAAATGTCATCGTCAGATGTATAATGGAAGGCGATAAACACTTTAGAATATAAACCACCTGCTGGTTCTTTT